TACATCGGCGGCTCTGAGGACCCCTTTCCACATTTTCTGAGGGCCCTACGCTAACGCCTCTGACGGCCACGTACCATTGACTCTGAGGGCCTCTTATCAGCCTAGCCTCTGAATATCCTTTGCCGGTCAATAAAGGGCCACTTTCTACTTTCAGGCCACTTTCAGGGCCACAGACATGCCAATGATGGCTCCACCAGTGTCTCTAAGCCCTAAGGCCCCGCAACGGCGGCTGTGAGGACCCCACACCAGCGCATCTGACGACCTTTCACCTGAACCTCTGATCACCGGTGACTCTGAGGAGCTCGCTCGCTTTGCTCGCTCGTAAAATACCGTGCATATTAAGCACACTCATCGGGCAAAAATCATATTTTACCTGCCAATTTTCCACATTTTCCCAGGGCTAAGACCGTTTTAGAGAGGCCCGTCTGCAAGTGGGACCGGACCGACTGTGCCCCCTCCCATCGAAAGGTCCTGGATACGTCCCTGCCTGGGCTGACCCCGGGCCCCCGGGGGACTCGCGGGCCCCTTCGAGAGCAGGTGACCCCCTCCTGGGCAAAATCCTGGGTGTCGACGTACGTCGTACATAGTCCTGTTGATTTGATTTGTCGGTTGAACATTGAATATCTAGTTAGAACGCTGGATCTCTGGTCTGTGATCTCGCATCCGGTATCAGTTATAATGATTTTTCATATCAATATGCCTAATTATAGTGAAAATGATGTAAATACCAGTAAAACGCCTTTTGGGCGAAGAACGAGCGAGCGAGATAGTGAGCCCTGCACGTGCGGAAGGGCGAGAGGGTACTTCCAACGGGGCTTGTGCAAAGCACCCTTCTAACCGGTCGCTAGCGGTGTGCCAAATTTGAACGCAATCGGCCCAGCCGTTCCTGAGATCTGGAAGCGGCACTCTGCACGTGCGCACGTGCAAACGGGGTCCAAAATGACTTTTGCACTGCACCCTACTAACTGGTCCCCAACCGTGTACCAAATTTGAGCGCAATCGGCCCAGCCGTTCTCGAGATCTGGAAGCGCCCCCTGCACGTGCGCACGTGCAGTAGCACCCTTACCGCAACACATGGGAATGCATTGCCTGGTGGGTGCCTACCTGTATGCCAAGTTTCACCGAAATCGCCCCAGTAATTACCGAGTTATCAAAATGGGAACAAATTTGACACCTCTTATTGTTGTATTTTGCACGTGCACTGGGGGTGACCCACATGCATCGAGAGTATCCTATTTTTGGTAGAAGGGATGCTGCTACCCTACAAAAATTACCGCAAGTCAATCGCCCAAGCGGCTGCTGAGATATGAGCCTCTCAAAATCACTACTTTTGCAAAACAGCTTGAACACCCTTGACTTTTCACGTGGCACGTGCCACGACGGTCACTGAGATGTATCAAAAGTAGTCAATTACGGGGTGGAAGGGATGGGGCTACCCAACAAAAAAGACCGCAGGCCAATCGGTCCAGCGGTTGCTGAGATATAAGCCTCTCAAAAGCGTTACAGGCCGGGCCGCGAGTTACCTAAGTGTGGAACTACAAGTCGATTCTAGGGCTCTGATTGGTGACTTTGGTCGGGGGATGACGCTTATAGCATGACGTCACTCGCGTACTTGGCCGGACCAACGGCGCGGCGCAGGCGCGCCGAGCCAACCCAGAGGCTCTCAAACTGAATTGTACAGATTCTGCGCATTGAATGGCGAAACTTCGGCGAGTTCGCTTGAGTTTGGAAGCCCCTGCCAGAGAACTGGAGACGGCCGGATTATTTGCTGGACAGTGGGCAGCGCAGATGGCGATTGACGGTGCCAAAAAGATGATAGGGAAAAAGGGGTTGAGACTTGAGCAGTGAATTATAAGCCTGTTGCATAGCTGAGTGGTAAATTGTAAAATACTTAAGGTTTGAAGAGATGCAGTGTAGTTTAGCCGACTCAGGGGCATTCTGCCGAGTTATGTAAGGCGGAAGGGTCGCAACTCGCAAGTCGTTTGTTTACATGATTGCCTGATTAAAATGTAAAGCGTACCTAATGTTTAGTTAATAATACAGCGAGGTTGGGCATCTGCTCAATCCATTTCTTCTCTGCAATAGTGCATTCGCCACTGTATTCATTGTAAGAGGCACTGGGCTGCGCCGCCTGTTAGTTATTCCGAAACCACCAGTGAATTGTCACAGTCACTCACAACAATACGAATCGTTCAGTCGTGCGCTGGGGGTCCGCCAAGTTTGAGTGTGCTGCAGAATGCAGACTGGACCGCCGAGAATATAACACTTCCGTCTCCCTGGGCGAGCGGCGCATTGGAGCCGAAGGAAACTGCTTCAGTTTTTTTTTTTGTGGGGAAGATACCCATGTTTGAAAATTATGTTCTGGAATGATGCGATAAGGAAAAGGACGGTTTCTTGAATTGAGGGCTGTGGGGAAGAAGCAGATTTTCTCATTTGCTACCCGATACAACGCGAAAAGACGCAAATGTTGCACATTGGGCTTAATAAGTCTAATAAAAGATAAGGGACTTCGTGAGTCATGCCTAACTGACCGCGACCCAGTTATTTGCCACTGCAGGTAGGTACTAGGTAGGTAGGCAGATACTCATTTGTAAACAGAGCGTTCCACCAACCCTCGCCAGAAATTCAATCAGCAGTTGCTTATCTTAAAACGTTTGAGTGCACCTAACAACTTTTAAAAATGACGTCCTCCCTTTCAATGGTTCGTTCGAAGACACAAAGCCAGAATCAGCCAAGCAATATCGGAATCCATTGCGCAGTGTGTCGACTGTCGGATGTGCCCATCCACATAGCATAGCACACACTGCTAAATGCAGGTAGGGGAAGGTGGGGTAAGACGGCCCAGCGGGGCAAGACGGACCACCAGCCCTCCCGGCTGAACCGCTGCTGGTATCTACTGCTTTATGCACTCACTATGTTTGTTTTCCTTCGTAACAATGGCCACTTTGAGCTCATGCTGCTAGGATGTATAGCTTTTGAGTTATTGAGAAAAATGTTGTTTTTCGTCAAACCGATCTAATATAAGAGGTCTACGGGTGATTCAATTACGGCGCCTTTCTTGCATGATTAGTTTCTATTTTGCACTTAACTGTGAAGAACAAAGTTATAAACTTAGTTATAGTCACACTTTAGGAAAGGCAAGGTTTTGCAATGTTGGGCTATTTGACATACACTTCATGATAATGACAGAATTTAGATTTGGGGCAAGACGGACCACTGTGGTCCATCTTACCCTGTGGTGGTCCATTGTACCCTGCATATGGAAAGTTCTTTTCCAAAACATTGACACAAGTTTAAGTAAGCTAATTTTTTCAGGAAGGAGTCTTTGTTGCATGTGAGCCATGCATGCAAGTGCTCAGTTAGCATGCATTCATGCCAAACGACAATCAACACACATGTTCCCAGCTTTTAGCTGCACTTCCATCACACATGAGTAAAGAATAAAGGCTCATTTTGTTATTTTACCATTCTGGTTACTTTTTCTTACAAGAGTATAGAGCAGAAGTGTAACACACATGAACGGATAGCAGGCACTGCTGGGTGGTCCGTCTTACCCCACGTTTTTTCTTGTCTGAGTTTTTGACATGTCCCTCTTTAAGAGCATCCACCACCTAGATGTCTTTAATTTGGAATTTAGTCTTTACACATATCAACAGAGGAAGGATTGAGCATTCCGAAGACTATAAATAATATGAATTACGAGAGCAGTGTAGCAAGATATGCGGCCTCAAACCTTAGCTGGTCCGTCTTACCCCACCTTCCCCTACGCTCACCTACACATTAGGTATTCGAAGGACTTGATAGCTCATACACATGGAAGAAACGCATGAAATGTGATTAATAGCTGCAGCAGAAGTTTGGCGTCCGATGCCTCTTCGCCAAGTTAAGACCATGCCAATCTCGGCCAGTCTGCCGCCGCGCCGGCACTGGCCGTGGTGTGACGTCATCCGGCCGGCTCGGCGCTGGGTAGTTCCACACTTAGGTAACTCGCGGCCGGGCCGGGCCGGGCCGGGCCGGGCCGCTCATACTGAGATTTTTCCGTTATATTGAAAAGACTCACTTCGCTCGCTGCGCTCGCTCGCTCGTAATAACTGTACTAACAATGCTCATCACAGCCATCAATCATGCATGTTCTCGATATGCCTACATAAAGATGCGAATATACCTACGTGAAAAAGGAGTGTTGTCCCCGCTCCTACACATTCGGGGCAATAAGTGACCGGCCCTTGCTTCTAGCCAGCCGGGGCCGGTCGGCCGGTCGGCTGGCCGGCAGCCAGGCGCTACCCGGGGTCGATTCCTGAGGGCCTTGCAACTATGCTTATTAATGGAATGTTTTACGTGAAAATAAATATATTTACCGACTTTGAATCGCATTTGAATAAAACGTACCAGCGTAGAACGTAAATGTTTGAAAACAGGTACCGAAATAATTCTTTTACTATGCCTTGGCAAAAGCTGAAGCTTCACGTTAACCGAAATAAAAGCACGTAGGCCGTAGCGCATTTTTTTGGGGGGCCCTTCGGCATGGGGGGCCCAGTTCGCAGGTCGTGCCCCCCCCATTCAAAAATCCTGTGTGCGCGCCTGGCGTTGGCCAATCGTATTGCGTAGTTCAAACCTACGCATGCTGCTTTGGCTGTGAGCAGCATGCTGATTGGCTGACGATGACGTGGCTGCATTCCTTAGCAAGGCACTTATTCTTCTGCAAGACACTCTTTACGGAACGGGAAATTGAATATCTTCGTCTAGGGTGATCGTTGGGCCATGAAAGCTCCTGATTTGTGCTAGTCTCAGCTCAAGCTACGGAACTGCTAGTTACTCCAGTTCGAAATCCCACGTTAAAAGTCATCTATTTCTTTTAAAACGGGCAAGAAAACGTTAAAAAAAGACTCCGTTTAGTCCGATAGTGCCACATTGACATGTAGTCAGAATTGTGGCAGTTGAGCACTAAGCAGCGCTGCTGCTATAATGCCGAGCGGCAGTGTCTCGCACAGGTCTCTGACTCATCAGTTGACACTGTTTTTTATTGAACATTTCGTTCAGAATAAGAGCAACATATCGATCATGGTAACAGGCAAATTTGTTTTACGCTGTTACTATACAGTGATCACGGCGCATTCAAACCGTAGGCTACAACAATCTCAAGAATCATAACTTATTCCAAGCGTAAGTGGCAGCCTTACCATTGCATTATGCCTACTTTGGTCGCCACTGACTAAAATGACTTCCCACCCTGTCTTAAAAACAACAACAACAATAAACAGGAGAGATATTTGAGGTACATAAAATCTCCTTTCGGTGTTGAGCTCGGGTGATATTCATATCGAGACTCGCAAGCCCCACTCCAAAATACTGAGACTACGGACTAGGAAATCTTCAGTGAGCTATCGGGCTACATTATTAGCTAGTGATAGCACTTATCATGCCAATCCGGTACAGATATTGTGAACAAACCAACAATTCAATTGTGGTCTTCATGAATGACAGAGGGCGACATTCGACATTGTTGGTAGTTGCATGTTCCGGTAGCACAGTAGTACCCAAAATTCAGCGCTTCTCACCGTTGAGTTGCTGCATCACCGTCCCACACCCACCCTTTGTGACCCCCACAGACCGTATTTCACCGATATGTATGCACTGAGGAATCGAAATCGACAACCTTGTGAGCTGATCACTGATCACTGGCGGTCCGGAGCAGGCGAGCCCGCCGCTCCTCTGAGACTGACGGCAGAGTGTCCCCGCCGGAGCTCCGTCTGCCCTCCGGAGGGCCCGGAGCGCCGTCTGCGGGTGACCGGACTGCCCGGAGCTCCGTCTGCGGGTGGCCGGACTGCCCGGAGCGCCGTCTGCGGGTGACCGGTTGGCCCGGAGCTCCGTCTGCAGGTGACCAGTCGGCCCGGAGCTCCGTCTGCGGGTGACCGGACTGCCCGGAGCTCCGTCTGCGGGTGACCGGTCGGCCTCAGACGCTGCCGGTGCGCCGGAGAGGCGACTCGCCGGGCTGCGGCAGCGACGGTCCGCCGCCCTCCACCCGGGGCCGGGGCCGCCGCTGACTCGCTGCAGCGGCTGGCGCCACCCCCGAGAGCTGTATTCCAGCCGAGGCCGGCCCTGTGCCGGAGGAGGGTGCTCCTGGCTCCACGGACGTTCCAGTTCGCTCGGCCGCAGACGCCTCCACTTCAGTCGTCGGCTCCGGGGCCGACGCAGTAAACGTATCTGATCGTCCCCGTACAGCAGACGCTCCTATTCGTTCAGAAGACGTTTCTGTTCGTTCAGGAGGCGTTCCTGTATATTCAGGAGGAGTCGCTGCACTCCCAGGCGCCTGTCCTGCCGCCGCCGGCAACACAACATCCTCCATTTCGAATGCTACGTTGTCCTGCAATAGATATGCAGAAGGTGTTATTCATCAGAGATGTCACAGAGGTGTAAATTCCCGCCGACTCTCAAGCACCGAGGTAGGGTTAAAGTTAATGAAACGTGACAACGCCACATTCAGTTATCACGTTTCGTCTAGCATTAATTGTCGACAATTACTTCGGTCGACAGTTACTTAGGAGGTCGATTTACAGTACGTACATTAGGTGAGCGAATATTTATCAACCGTTAAGTTACCAGTATAACGCCTTTTGGGGCGACTAACGGAGCGAGCGAGACGGTGGGCCTTGCACGTGCGAAATTTCGAGGGGGTACCTCCAACTGACTTGTGCACGGCACCTTACTAGCCGGTTTCTAGCGATGTGCCAAATTTGAGCACATTCGGCCCAGCCGTTCTCGAGATCTGGAAGCGGCACCCTGCACGTGCGCACGTGCAAAATGGGTCCCAACTGACTTGTGCACGGCATCCTACTAACTGGTCTCTAACCGTGTACCAAATTTGAGCGCCATCGGTCCAGCCGTTCTCGAGATCTGGAAACGACCCCTGCACGTGCGCACGTGCAGCAGCACCCCAACTCTGGCACATGGATAGGCAGTGCCTAGTGGGTGCCTACCTACATGCCAACTTTCAGCGCAATCGGCCAAGTAGTTACCGAGATATTGCAACAATTACAAAACTGACACCTCTTCGTTTTGCACGTGGCACGTGCATAAGGGGTCACCCACATCCATCGGGAATAGTCCAATACTTGGTAAAAGGAATGAAGCTACCCTATAAAAATTACCGCGTGTAAATCGGTCAAGTGGTTGCTGAGATATAAGCCTCGCAAAAGCGTCCGCATGGCCGGCCGGCCGGCCGGCCGCTCATGCTCAGAAATTTCCGTTAATCTAAGGAAAGACTACGCTCGCTTCGCTCGCTCCGTAATCAACCGTTATGGACGTCACTGAAAACTCAATATTTAAAACTTGGGTCGATAAAAACGCATGGTAAGAATAGAAGTACTTAAATATCTGTAGTAGCTATGTGAAATCTGCTCGTCTTTGGCGCGCTATTATGGGCGCGGGTATGGCACGGCGGAAAAAAATGAGGGTGTCAGGTGACCTGTCATTCGTTGGGTGCCGGTGACGATCCCCGAGGTGCGCTCACCTGCTGCGCCACGGCCTCCTGGTAGGAGGGCAGCTTGCCCCAGTCGCCCGACGAGCGCGTGGTGAAGATGGGCACGTAGGGCGGCGGCGGCTCGTCGGGCTCGGCCTCCTCCGAGTAGCGCCGGGTCGGGTGGGCGCGCCGCTGCGCCGCCCGCCGCTGGCGCGCCAGGCGCTGCGCAGTCAGCAGCTGGTCCAGGTCGGCCCGGCGCCGGTAGTGCTGCTGGTATAGCCGCCTGCCGGCCGGACACGCGGGTACATATACAGCGGTAAACGGGCCGACATGGCATACAGGTGCCGGATCGGTAACCATCGGTTTGTTGAAGGTACTCGAACGAAAGATAACCTGGTATAGCAGTGTATGAAAGGTACGATTGCCATCCATTTTCAATGCGCATTTGTATATACTGCCCAGCTGAGAGACGTGATCCAATTTCAAATATAACGTAAGTCCTTTCAAGAATTAACCAAACAATGCAAATGGCATAACAAAGGAACTCACGGCGACGCCCGCTGATACCCCTCCCCCCCCCGCCGGCGCCCATTGCACCCACCTCTGCATGTTGCTGCGGATCTGCATGACGACGCCGATGGCGACGGCGGCGAACAGGATGCAGATGGACACGATGATGGTGGTGGTGAAGAAGGGCGACTGCACGCGCACGCAGCTGCGCCCGCCCGCGTCCGGGTAGTACTGCAGGTCGCACTTGCACATGTGTCCGTAGCCGCGCACGTACACGCAGCTGCTGTGCTCCAGCCGGCAGGAGTCGGGGTCGGACACGGAGCAGTTCTGGTCCAGACCGGCTGCGGACGGAAACAGCTCGGCGTTAGTGACCACAGACCCGGACACGTCCAGGACATCTCACCTTCGACCAGTCAATGTGGGCGACAGGACATCGTACTCCCGGTAGTGACGGCGCCGCTTTGAATCGCTGCCGCGCCCGATTTACACAGAGACTGACCAGGACAGTCAACTGACGGGGACCGGCTGCTGACGAGGACAGTCTGCTGACGGGGACACGACAGTCTACTGACGGGGACCGGCTGCTGACGGGACCGTCTGTTGACGAGGAGTCTGCTGACGGGGACAGTCTGCTGACGGGGACAGTCTGCTGACGGGGACAGTCTGCTGACGGGGACAGTCTGCTGACGGGGACCGGCTGCTGACGGGACCGGCTGCTGACGGGACCGTCTGTTGACGAGGAGTCTGCTGACGGGGACAGTCTGCTGACGGGGACCGCGGCTGCTGACGAGGACAGTCTGCTGACGGGGACCGGCTGCTGACGGGGATCGGCTGCTGACGGGGACCGGCTGCTGACGGGGACAGTCTGCTGACGGGGACCGGCTGCTGACGGGGACAGTCTGCTGACGGGGATCGGCTGCTGACGAAGAGTCTGTTGACGTGGGCCGTCTGCGGTTGGTGTCTGGTGAGAGAGGTCGCTGAGCAGAGAGACCATACCATATCAGTGAGTGCCTCCAGCGCTCGCAAAGCTTTCGTCTCTAGATTATCTAAGTCAAATAGTCTGGACTCTGAAACTCCCTAATTAGACGGCCAAGAACTGCGTGACAAGCTTGCTTGGCGCGAGTGCTGACTTAGTCATTTACTTTTTTAAGAGCTGCAGAAGTTATAAAAGAAAGTTGTCGATGTTTGTTATAGGCGATAGGTACAACCATAGGTATAACCAAATCACTAATACTTTTTATAATAATGGGTTCTAATAACGTTTATAGTGTAATAAACGTTATTTATTACACTATGGTACAACCATGTATATGTACAACCATGCATATTACCCAACCTGAGTGCGATAGCGTTCCGCTGCGTCCCGTCGATTCTACCCATGGACAGCAGCCGTCCGACGCAGGTTTTCGGGTGGTGTGAGGCCGCATAAATACCAAAAGGAAGGATTACAGGTTCAAGGCTGGCACGCGGAGCTCGCAGCTTGCCTTACCCTTTTCGACGCATGCGGCGGATGCGCTCTGCCAGTAGGCTTCTTCATAGCACATGCAGGTGAAGCCCACACACTCGCAGATATTCTTCTCCGCCTCGCAGCAGTCGCTCGTTGCGTTGCAGGGGTGATACTCGCCCTGAGCTGTCGGGAGCGCAGAAGACGGGACTGCAGTTTTCCTATTTACTACAGGCTTGAATGTAGCTAGGGCAGACTGACCAATGTTCATGTACAGCCCACCGCTAAAGTAATGTGTGGTTTTACCAATCTCAACGGATGGCTTTGACCGACGATTTTTAAATGCGGACTGATTGAAAAGAAGACGTCAATAGATAAAGTTGTAGCTGTAAGGGTGAAGATACATGTAAGCTACATTTAAAGTCTCGTTGCAGTCTGGCTAATCGTTCCTAGGCTTCAGAAGCAGAACATACCCATGACTGAAACCACAGTCACACATTACTTCTGCTGTGGACTGTACATTGCACTTCCTGGTCACTTAGTTTAGTTACACAAAGCAAAAGTAACGGAAACTAAGTTAACCCGCGAGTTGCTGGGGGGGGGCGTTAAACGCCCCCACTTTTTTCGCCGGGCCATAGCACAAAAACGGCGCGCCGCAGGCGCGCCAAATTTTGGGTACCTGTAGGGAATTGATTGAAGCTTATTGTGACAAAGTTTCAAAAAAATCGGTCGGAAAATTTTTGAGTTATCGAGGTTTCAGTGACGTCATGATTTCTGAGTTTTCGACCAAAAACGGCATATGTTCAAAAAATCATATAAAATCACAGAATAGACATACAGACATGCCGTAAACGCCGTTAGACTGCCAATACCATGTACAATCAAATGGCTGTCTTAGATTATTGATTATCCTTCCGCATTTTCCAAAATCTTGAACTGAATCTTGGCAATTTCTCGTGACTTCTTCACGACCCTGATACATGCATTTCTTAAATAGAACTTTTTTAGCCAAATACGTACACATATGATAAAATGAATGTCACCATCGTGTTCTACGCCCCAAATTACCCATAAAACCTGTGTCACAGGCTACGAATATCAGTTTTGATTCTCGGGGATATGTGCCTGCCCGGTTGACCTGACCTTGACCCTGACCTATGCTTGACTGACCCCTACATGGAGCTGACACTCTTGTAGGCCTTATATGATGGATTGTGCACCGTTTGGACAGAGTTTATGACGAGAGGCGCCCATTGCGAAGTCCTGAAGTCCATGCTACTGAAAGCCCGATTTCAGGTGTTTGACCTGACCTCGACCCGACCTGTGACCTCAAAATTCAACTTTGAAGTACTCATCTGAAGCGTCTCGTCGCGTTCTTTCGTTTGCCGCCTCGTGCGTTTCGCTGCGCCTATTGGTTCTCGAGTTATCGGCTGGGGGCGTTTAACGCCCCCCCCCAGCAAACGGTGGGTGGCGAAATACCCCAGCAACTGCCGGGTTAAAGGGACTATCCCACCTTTAACATGGGGTTTGAGTTGAGATAGCCAAGTTTGCGGCGAGGTTCAGAAACCACTATCTATCTAGGTTGCAACCCCCGCGGCCTCTTGGTGTTGAAGAAATTCGTTCCCTTCATTTGAAAATGGGCCTTGTACAAGGCCCTATCTTCAACATGGAGCGACCGTTAGTGTGACGTCACCTCGTTTAGTCATTCTGATTTAAATGGGGTTGTTCGTTGAAAAATCGCTTAAAACTTGGTCTGAACTTTGTTGTGGTGTCTACAGAGTAAAAAGAATCAGCTTTATGACAGTAATGTGGCCTGGGGAAGGAGGTAATTTTGGGCTGTGACGTCACATATTTGAAAGTTTGTGTTTGGAATATGGGAAGCCTAAGATGTTTAATGAAAAATAAATGCCAGAACCGTGTTCCTGGTCATCCAATCTATAAAGTCGGGCACAATTTAACTGGTTTTACCAACATTTTAGAAGGTGGGATAGTCCCTTTAACCCACGCCCCGGGCTATGGCCAGACCCTTCCACCCGTAGAGGGGGTTTCGGTTGGTATCGGTACCACGATTCTTTGCAATTGACATTACTAATTTGTGGTTGACCTACCATATTCACTGGAAAAGGTTTTGGCGAAAAGGTGTAAAATAGATGCCCAGAGGGGTCCCGAAAGTTTGGTGACGATATCCGCAATCATAGGCGTAGGAACAGGGGGGGCCGGGGGGCCATGGCCCCCCCACTTTCGGAGGTGGGGGGGCCAGCAATGTTAACTGGCCCCCCCCCCCCACTTTTTGCTGACTTAAGTGTCTGTCTGTACCTAACCTACCACCCGGTAACTTGACAACTATTCAGCTTGCCCTTTAATGAGGATTCCTTTTTGTTTCTACAGCGTTATTGACCGCAATTTCCTTCACTCAATGAAGGAAACCATATCAGAGACAAGACTGTGAGTCCTGGTGACAGCATTTTGTTGAATACGAGGCGCGGGACAGCGAGCACTAAAAAGGTATAGGCAATACTAAGACAATACTAGCACGGTGCAGGAGAATGCGTATACAAACGACCAACGCTTGACCTTATCTGCTTGGGGTCGGCATAGTTCGTCAAAGGCGTACTAGCTGGGGGCCAGGGTGACCGTGCCTCAGCCTCGGTTCAAACAGGCTGGGGGCCAGCAATGTCTGTTTCTGCCCCTCCCCCTTCCACTTTCAGTGCAGTGGCGGTCGCAGAGGGGGATCAGGGCCATGCCCTTCCCCCTCCAAAGGCTAATCAGGGGGCCATCATATCATTTGGCCCCCCCAAACAACCAATGGGCCCCCATGGGCGTATGGGGCTCTGTCCCTTATTCGATTGTCACGAGACTCAAGAATCCCACGCTAGCTATTAACAGCTCCCAAACCAGTCTTTGAGGGTCCTACACTGATCTCGGAGGGCCCTTCAGTGGCGGTCAAGCGCCCACATTGACCGCTGAGAACCCACATTGACCTCATTTGAGGGCCCCTAAACCGGCCTCAAGGGCCCAGCCGGCGTCTGAGGGCCTCACACCGGCCTCTGGTGGCCTCATTTCTGTCTCTGGGGTCCCAAGACTAGCCTTTAGGTGCCTTTGAGGGCCCCGCACTGAATTCTGAAGACCCGATGCCGGCCTCTAAGGGTCCGCATCGGCCTCTGAGGGTCCACCTTGGCCTGAGGGGTCCAACGCCGGCCCATGCCGGTCTTTTAGGGCCCCACACTGACCTCTAAGGGCCCATGCTGACCTGTAAGGACACGCATTAGTCTCTGAGAGTGAGGGCCTTGCACGGGATTCTGAAGACCTGATGCCGGCCTCTGAGGCCCATCTTGGTTTTTGAGGGTCTTCTGCTGGCCTCTGGGGTCCAACACCGGCCCATGCCGGCATTTTAGGGTCCCACACTGACCTCTGAGGGCCAATACTGGCCTGTAAGGACCCACATTAGCCTCTGATGGCCCAAGTCGGCATCTTAAGGTTCTCATCCTGCCCTTTGCAGGCCCTGTACTGGTCTCTGAGGGCCTTAACCCTCGCCGGCCGGGGGGGGGGGGGGCGGGTGCCGCCCCTCCATAGGTTTTTTTTCGCGATAGCTCCGAACACGCCGGCGATAGAGAGCTGAAGCTTGGCATACCTGACCTTTGAATCAAACGGGATCTTTTGACACCAACCGCATTTTCGGGTCAGATCAGGTCACTGACCCATGTGGTCATAAGTGAACCTCTGCACGGTCTTCAGATGTCGCAACTTCGCAACGCCCTCACTGCCAGAGGAGATTTCACAGGGAAATGAACCTTGGAGGACCTAGTATCCAATAGGAGTCTCTCAACTTGTATAATGTATATCTCGGATTTTTCCTAAAGTTCATATGAGGTCAGGTCATTTTCGTGACCTCACCATTAGGTATAAGTCAATGGGGATAAACTGAAAACTTTTTTCTGGCGCCGGGAACGATCGATCTCCAACTATCTCAAGCACACCGAATCGTGATTTGATGCACTCCTTGCAAGGTTCGATGCGTCACTTTTGCAATGTTGACCTTGCGCGACGTCATTTATGAAGTTATAAGGGTCTTATTAGTTTTTCGTCAATAACTAGGTACCGATCAAATTGAGCTAGCGAGTCGGGAAAGCCACCTATGGACTCAAGAAGACCTGCCGAATCGAATGATATGCGACATGACCTCCTTCGACCAATTTCATGACCTGGGGACGCCGACCTGACCGTGACCCGAGGTCAACACCCTAAGTTTACCTCACCCAAACAAAAAGTATATCATTCGACGCGCCTGAGAGAGGCGAACACGATGCTGGCAAAATCGCGGCTCTGCGGCCATTTTTTGCGAAGTTATTCACCAAAAACGGAACCGTGCCTTGAGGCACTTGACCTGACCTCAGAGGTCACCGGTTTTTGTTCGTTTTGTTGGGTTAGGCCCTTTCGGTCCAATGAGACCATTTCAGAGCCGGAAGGATGATAGGATATAGGGGGAGACATTGGTCTGGGCAGGCACCCTAGTGAGTCGCCGGGGCTGAGCCCGTCCAGAGGACAGGCCACCCAGCCCCAAGGCACTCACTGCAACCGGCTACGGGGTGCGCTCCCTCGGGAGCAGCGGTGCCGCTCCAAGGGAGCAGCCCGCATGAGATAAAGTTGCCTGTCCAGCCCGGAGGGGGTTGCGGTGTGGAGGAGAAGGATTTCGGTATCCTGAGGATAGAAGCACGGAACGGTGTCAGATGTCACCGGTTGACCTAGGACCATAAAATCGGGTATCGATCTCTGCGTCTCGTAACGGCGCACACGCTCGTTTTACCGCGACGCGCTAGCTCCACCTGGGGCGAAACAGCGAGGGGGGTCGTACCCGCCCCCCGCCCCCTCGGCCAGCGCGTATGTAGAAAACCTATAGGACCGGGCCGTGGAGGGTTAAACTGGCCTCTGAAGGCCCAGACCGTCTAAAAGTCCCACACCGGCCTCTGATAAGTGATAGTCAATCAGCCCAGTTGCAGTGGTCGCTGATATAAAACCTCTTAAAAACGTTATAGGCCTGGCTGAGCCTAGCTGGGCCGTTCATGCTGATTTTTATAGGTATATTGAAAAGACTCGCTTTGCACGTTTCACGCTTGCTCGTAATGAAAAAGTTGCTGGATGCCTCTGGAATTTGCATGGGTGCCAGCGGCTGCGGAGGACAGGGGAAC